CGGCTCCAGCGCCGCCGCGAGGTGCTCGCCGCGGTACGGCGGCGTGGGCTGCTGGCGCGGCTGCGCCGGCGCCTGGCGCGTTATGCGCTGAGGCGGCGGACGAAGGCCGTGGCCCTGGAGGCGGCCGAGGCCCTGCAGGGCGCGGTGTGGACCAAAGCGGCGGTGCGGATCCAGGCGTTTTGCCGCGGCCGCTGGGGCCGGGGCTGGGCGTATTGCTGGGCGCCTCCGTTTCAGCGTCCAAGGACCATGGCAGAACGAGGTGAGACGGAGATGCCCACCTTGAAACTTGGCTTTTGCATGTTGTTTGCTCAACACTCAACCCTGATCCTGCTGAAAGCTGAAAGTTCTTGAAGCCCATGATATCCCTTCAACCTTCACGTAATGTTTTTGCTTGGCCTCCCTGCAACAGAAGTTATTGACACTTAGTTAGTGGTGACACTTCTATATATAGTTTCGAGTGCATCAAAGTTAATAAAGTTGACAGGATGAAATTCAGGCCTGGCCCCAGTGTACGGACAAAACAGCATATATCTTTTATGTTGAGCCTCTCCCAGCTCTGAGGATCAGCCAACGGTCCCCTCAGACGAGTGTCCTTGCTCCGTCGGAGATCGGGCTCGAGAGCCCAGGACAGCGGAGCTGGCCAAAGAGTTCGCTCGGCTCCGCAAGAGGAGGAAGGCCCAAAAGGCCTTTGAACTGGTTCGAGCTGCCGCTCGGCTGAGGTGGTGGGTTGGAAATGGTTGGAACATGTTGGAAGTCGAGCGGATTCGAACGGCGGTAGAGAAGACGGTTGTCGCTTCGGGGGGGAAGGGAAGGGTTGTGATGTTATGCTTCGAAAGTGGGAGAGCAATGAGAGCAACTAGGAACAAAATGAGCGCGAGGGAATAGGTGGTGGAAATGAGCAAATGAACCAACAACTCACGGAAATGTACAGAACATGGTTTGATCCGGAATGCCTATGTTGAAATGTTTGATTCTGGTGAAACCAAATGGCACTGCTTGAGGATTGCTGATTCTTTGACTTTTGCGGAACGTTGGACATGGTTGCAAGGGGGGTCGCTGTGACAGACTGAAGGATATTTGGCCACTATCCATTTTGATGCAATTCAATGCTACATGAGACGTAACGTGTAATAGCAAGATATAGCAAAGAAAGTAGCAAGCAACTCTTTGGTATAACTCATCTGTTCCTGTTCCTATTTTGGGGGTTGTGTTTGGCTACTTGCAGGATGGATTATATAGCGCTCAAACTGGGAAAGTACTTGGGCACAATGTTCTGTGCCACTCGATAGCATACAACACCCCACTTAGGGTTCCTTGTACACCTGGCTAAACTTACTTTGGACATCTTGCAGTTATTGCAATCGTGGCATCACTTTATTTTGCTTCCTGCCCCGCTTCACGCAAAACAAAACTCTACAAGGACCCGGTGGTTCGTGGACATGCCTGAACCGGTTTTTCTCGGGGCTATGAAAAATAGACGCCCCAAGCCGCGGAAGCCCCCCAGAACTCTCTCCTCCGCTGGGCAGACCGCGCACGAGGCCTGGAGTCCAGCTTTGCCCGTGGAGCTGATGCTCTTGAAGGCCTGGCAGCACGAGCACGAGGAGCTTCTCCAGCGTGAACGCTTCGTGCAGCGCGCCACGCGCCGCTTCGAGGCGCAGTGGACGCGCTACGCGGAAGGCCGGACAACACCCACGACCCCAGACCCCCGGATCGGAGATCGAGTGCAAGTCATCAGAGATCGATCGGATCGAGCTACGTCGAGCTCCGGATCGGGTTTGGATCCGTCATTGACGGAGTCTGGTCCGGGCACTCCGTTTGGTCCGTCTTCCATAAGTGGTTCGGGATCCCCATCGATCGATCCGACCTTGGTGGTGCAGGTTTGGAAGCCTTTGCACGCACACAGGCCACCGAAAGGCCGGCCCGGTAGGCGGTGGTTTGTTCGACAGGGCGGTGTGGCTTGTTCGACAGGACGTCCAGCATTCTATAGCATTGAATTAGACAACTAATATATTTGACTCCCTGTTGCAGCCAGTTGCGGAGTAAGTTTAGATAAGTTACTAGTCACCATTGCTATAGGACCCCGCCCATTCACCTAGACACTTGGTGCTTGCTTGCCAGGGGGTGTCCAACTGTGGGTCTGGGATGGGAGATGGATGGATGGGAGGTCTTGTTGTCATGACTTGTCATGACTCGTTCTTGTTTGGGCAAGGAGTGGTACCTACAGTGCCCCCCCTTGCCTCTCTCTCCATTTGATTTATCATTTGGTCACAAGGTTTTTTCTCAATCTTTGATGTTTAGACTGGCGAGTCTCGCCCGCCGCCTCGCTTCAGGGTTGAGCTGACAACCATGTGGCGGCGGATATTTTTTCGAAGCTGATCGGTCGGAGGGTCGGAGATAGAAAGAAAGTTCTTACGGAAGCATATTGAAAGCCGTGGAATATGTTGGAACCGTGACGTGGTTCAGAAGGAAAGGTCTTCTAGGGTGCCATTTTGCATTATTTGACATTTCAGAAACGATCCAATGTATGGAATAGTTACATAAATGCGGTAAATGTATATCGATGGTTTGAGTAAGAGCTTCGACGCGGTGTGTTTGGAATGTGAACTGCCGTACGTACATCCTTTGGGGGGGCAAATGGAGAGCTTGATGAAATGCTTGAAGTAAGTTATAGTTTTACATACTCCTTGAAAGCACAGAAGCACGTCCACACCATGACATGACACTGTGTGTGGGCGCCCCTTGTAGTCACAGGGATTCTTTTTGAATTGTTTTTAGCAGGGGGCAGTAGCCCACTCATGAGTCTACTGCCAACGAAGCTGCTCATGAGCTGGGAGGATATCGGAGCTGATCACTCCGACGTACCTGCTATGTTTGTGGTGTTCTCAAGCTGTGACTATCATTTTCTTTAAAGGGCTAACGCATTCCGCAGACATGCACGCCACGCCGTCATCTGTCGGCTCGATTTCGACTTGAGCCTTTGGCTCCTTTTCCTTTTGAAGACCCCCCCAGGCTCCATAGGGTTTTTCCTGGACTTTTCAGGATTTGGTTTCTTAGGCTGGCGTGTGGCACCGCATTCAGTTCAGTACGCATAAGTGCGTCTCTCCTAGTGAGAGTCCAGGGTGAGCCCGAGGAGTGCCCCCTGTGGACCCGTCTAACGGGTGTTAGTCCATAGTCCCCCTTGCCTGGGAACGTAGGTGTCCGAAGCGGACAGCAGGAGGCTTATGCCAAAGTTGTTTGCCAAGACTTGCTGAAGTATAGAATTCCAAGCTGGCTCATGCCTGTACGTGACCGCAGCGGTCTAAGCAGCCAGCCATTTTGGCAGGGCACAAGGTGACCACAGCGGTCAAAGTATTTTGGAGGTTCGTTGGAACCTGTCCCATTCTTAGGTGCACACACAGCGTATACATGCAAACGAGGCGAGGTCTTCCTAGGTGGTTAGGTTCGGCTTCATCGGTTCTCCTCCATTTGGTTCCCTTTTCATCCTTTTCCCCTTCTACACACCTTTGGTTTCTTCTTTTCTTTCATGCCCTCCTGTCTTCATGTCTGGTCATCTCATCCTTTTCTTCGTTTGCGCGCACATTGGTCCCAGCCTTAGTGTGTACGTGCGCTTCTCCATACATTTTAAACACAGGTGTCAGGTCGCGCAGGTCTTTACAATGAGGTGGGGTTCATCGTTCGTCCCTGTGCACTCGGTTTCTCTTTCATTGCAACCACACACCTTTTTGTCCCGTCTTGTCCTCCTTCTCATGTCTTCATCCTTTTGTCTTTGCCGCGCGCACATTTACACAACCGTCCTAGCCTCAATTCTTTTTGCCTCCCCTCGGGGAGGCGCTTGTGTGTGCCCCTTGTAGTCACAGGGATTCTTTTTGAATTGTTTTTAGCAGGGGGCAGTAGCCCACTCATGAGTCTACTGCCAACGAAGCTGCTCATGAGCTGGGAGGATATCGGAGCTGATCACTCCGACGTACCTGCTATCATCTGTCGGCTCGATTTCGACTTGAGCCTTTTGCCCCTTTTCCTTTTGAAGACCCCCCAAGCTCCATAGGGATTTCCTGGACTTTTCAGGATTTGGTTTCTTAGGCTGGCGTGTGGCACCGCTTTCAGTTCAGTACGCAAAATCATAAGTGTGTGCGTGTGTGAAGAGTTCTCGTACCCACCTCAATTCATAGAGCAGGGGGCCAGCGCACCCATCCATTTCACCGTGGATTCTGATACTGGATGAACCTGTGACTAAGTGTGTGTTGTCTCTTTTTTCTCTTTTGGATGAGACCATGACTCAGCCGACCACATCTCCCCCCCACCGGGTTCCTCCTCTAGGCTTCCAAAACGCGTCCAACTGGTCAGGTCCAAAAACCGGGACCACTGGGTGGCCACCGCCGACCAGCGCACCGGCCAGCCGGTGTGGCTGAACGAGCGCACGGGGCAGCTGCGGGCCAACGATCCGACGGAGCTGCGTGTGAAGGGCGCGGTGAGCAGCTGGGCACGGTGAGCAGCTGGTGGTGTTTTTGACTGGTGGGGAATGAGGGAATGATCTCCCAATAGAGATTCCCAATAGAATGATCTCCCAGCCACCCTCCTTCCCCACGAGTCGCAAGTCACTTGTTGGGGGGCCGCCCGGAGGGGTTGTTGGAGGTTGGGCGCGGATCTGCCCCCCGCGATCCGAAGACGATCCATTGCGCCCGTGATGTGAGAAGCTTCGGAGATTTTGTTTGGATCCTTGAAGAACGATTCGGATCGTTTTGCACTCTCCACGGGGTCCACACCAACGAAGCCCCCCCATGATGGGTCAAACCAAAAGTCTGCGGTTCCATGACCCCACACCAGTTGGGAAGCATGGTTGGTCGATTGGAGACTTCTGACATGATGGTCACCGGAACTGCCACAACCAGGCTTAGGACCCAAGGACCTGACCAGCGGTCTCTTCATGAGAGACAGTGAGGAACTACATGGAACGGGCTGCATGATGATGGTTTTTTGTGGTGTGGATCCGCTATTGCATGTTTCAGATTCCCCATGTATGCAACTAATTAACTATATTTTTACCATGGTATGGGTGTGTTTGGGTTCCTGGGTATATACATCCTCACGCACGGTTCCATTTGGTGGATGCTTGGTTGGCAGGGGAACCATAGTAAACGTGGATGTCTAATGCAGGTGAGGCAATACTGCAACCCTGCATCAAGTTTCTAGTCACAGGAAGACTGAACTGACAGCTGTGCTTGCTTGCCCTTTTCATTGGACCTGAAGTGAGGTGGACATTGCTTCAGTGGGGTCCGAAGTGGGGAGGAGAAGGGGTGATAAGGTGACTGCGTGGTGGGTAGGCCTGAGGGGGGTACTTGTATGCTTGGTTTGTTGATGTTTTGGTTTGCACGCAGCTGACAAATCTAAGGCAGGGAAAAGAAGAAGGCTGAGGGAGACTTGACTGAAGACTTGGAAGGGACCATCTTTAGGAATTGGTGGATCAATCACCTTCCAATACTTGGCATCCCATCCTTCCATCCATTTAGGATGGTTTTGGAACTTTGCGGAGCAGGTGATTCTTCTCTCATCCGCTGTTCAAAAGCCGGAACAGGACTGGATGGGTGCCTTACAAAGAACACCTCCGCTAGGGGATTGAACAGGTGGCGAACGATGAATAAGTCATTGTTCACGTCCTGAGGCCCGCCCTGGAGACCCCCTCGCTCGACAGCACGCCAGCTGGTCGGCTCGAAGTCACCACCCTGCTCGTCAGCCCGCAGGATCGTCCGTGCACGGTAGTGGGTACGGTATGTGGGTACGGTGTTGACCGTCACGACTTAAGGAGTCAGTTTGATTCCAATGAGGAGTCGACATGCTGCTTCCAAGAGGTGGAACATAGGGAGGAAGACATCCTTGGTTCTCGACCTTCCTTGACACGCAGTCCAGTTGCCACTAACCTTTCGACATACCTGTGACCTGCCCTGCATGCAACGCTTCGTGTTCACCATTTAGTTGATAAGATATTCCCTGATTCTTGCTACCTACATACATCTACATACCCTCTATTCTTTTCATGCATCGTCATGTTTTTGTTGCTACGTCCGTGTCCTGTCCCCCTCGTTGTTGCTTTGTTTGCGATCTGTCACGCTCCGCGCGGTGTCGGCACGGCACCCGCGCCCACAGACCGACGCTGAGGACAACTGGAGGAACACCTCGCCCAGCTGCAGGGCACCTGGGATCAGGAGCACCAGTCGATCGCCGTAACCGTTTCTTGCATTTTTCTGGATTTGCGTAAGGCTTAAGGTGATTTTGTTTTAAGATGTTGTATTTTCCTTAGGGTTAAAAACCCTGGAGATTCCTGAAGCAAATCCAAGTATTTTGGTTGCTTTCGTGTTCCCTCGTCCTGGACACATTGAGGGATTGGTGGGTTTGTTGAGTCGGTCCCAACTGTCGTTGGGAATGGGATGGAATGGGTATGAGTGAAAGGGATTGGGGAATTGGTGGATGTGTTCATTCACCGAAGGCTTACGAAACACATTCTGCCCTTATGCTGCCCTTTTCTACTAAGTAGCTGAAGATCTGGATGGTCCAAATGTTGCTCTTGTTGGTGGCTCCAAGCTAGCCTGGACCAGGTGTCATTTTCATGCGAAGCTTCGAGCTTTGGTGATTCGATGAAGATTGGCGCTTGGATTTGTTATGATCAACTCAGCAGCCTTCGACGGCTCCAGTGAAGCGAATCACTCAGCAGCTTGCTTCACTCGTGACCTCTCCGGTCACCACACCATGGTTTCGAAGTCCACCACCGGGCTCCCTGTGGTCTCCCCTTCGCTTCCGGCCGCTTCACCGATGGTCTCCCAGGAGGACGAGGCCTTCGCGGCGTTGTACGCGGCCAACCTGGAGGAGCGGGGGGAGCTGAGCGCCGCAGGTGTTGAAATGGAACTTTGGGGACGAAAGGGTGCAAATTGTGCACCTCACGGTGTATTATGGGGTGGAGTCATACTTCACCAAACCGCAATGACCAAACGTGAACATGCGCATGAGCGACGCGAGCATGACAGGGTGGATAGTACCAGAAGTATCCAGAAGTTTGAGTCCCAAAATCTATTGCGGAGACGTTTAACCACCTTTTGCTGCGCCAGTGTAGCTCCTTGTTCTCATCACTCGTGGATTTCTCCACGATTTGGTCCTCTAAGTCAAGTTTAAAAAAGGCCCAGAGCCGAAAACGCACATGAGAAGTCCTCCAAAACTGAGGTGTTTGGGGTTCTACTGTACCCAGGCAATTTGGGATGGTTGAGGGACACCGAATACATCTCTGTGACTCTCCCAAAAGATTGCAAAGACAGATGTCTTGCATTGCCAGCTGGCGAAGGTAAATGTTCACCGCCAAGGATAGCCGTTCCAACGGTTTGCAATACTCAATGTATTTCTAAGCAACCTATATCGCGGCCGAAAGCACGTCTCATGCTTCGTGGAAGGAAGCGGCGTCCACTGATCTTTCATGTTCCAGGAGCTTCAGGTCCTCTCCCAAAGTTCCTTTGCGCAAGCCTTGGCCTCCACTGCTTCCTCCGGATCCGCGCATGGAACCAAAAAGACCTGGGCGCACGATTTATAGCGGCTGGAGGAAAACGTGCTGATGGTGGAAGAAGTGAGTGGGATTGTTAGAGGCGAGCTGAGCTCGATGTACTACTTGGATAGCACATGTCCCTTTGGTGCCGTGACTATTCTGGAACTCTATTTGGCCCTTGCCTTCCAATCTTTCGGTGGTGTTGGGCCAGGATTGGCATTGTACCACGGGTGGAGACCATAAGGCGATGGGCATGATACTGATGGGCCATGGACATGTTTGATCGTGGGTGGAGGAAATTAACGGACATTTAGCTTTTGGACATTTGGTGGTTGATGCTAAGGTCTACCTTGTTTGACATGTTTGACATCACGGCCTCCTCCATTTAGATTTTGCAGTAAGCCAGAACCCTCAGGTTCTTCCCGATTTGGTGTTTTCCACCCTCGTCCGAGACCGAGAAGCACTGTTGCATGGGATTCCACTATAGGAAGATCCAGCGACTCCTTCGCGGATTCGCATGGCCGCTGACTCACAGCTTTGAATTGCATGGCTGCTATGTTTGGGCCAGATGACTGAGGTGGACATGAGGTTTCCATTACTGAACTGAGTGTCTCTCATCGAAATATATGGCTGCAGTGATCATCATGTCATGGCATTGAATCGTGTGAGCATCGCCCCAGTAAAGCTGCTCTATGAATATGCTAATCCAATCAGAGCCCATCGCACACCACTAGCACAACAAACCTGATCCTGTGCACCCCACAAGAGTCTTGGGCCGTTGACGAAACTCGTGCTCCCTTCACGATGTGGCCGGAGCCGCCCAATAAAAACGCTGTCAACTTGAAAAAACCATTCGGAACGTCCACAAACGTTTAACTTCATGTGGGGAACGAACGGACCTTTCTTACGACGGTGCCTCTCCGGCTTACGACGAGACAGGACGCCACGGACGGCTCTCCGAACGTACAGTATCGAGGAGGAACGAACCGGAGCCGTACGTGGAAGCAAAGCGGGCTGAGTCTTTTTTCCAGCCAGACGGAGCCCAGTGTTGCTTTGCTTCCACAGCTTCCTATAAAGCTGATAAAGCATGATAAAGCAAACAAAGCGATATGAGAACACAGCCCCTAACCAATCCATGAACACAACGCCACTTTTGAATGACATGGATCCGCCATGTGCTAGCAGTCCATGCTGCACCAATAAGAGCGAGGAGTGGGTGTGGATATGGGTGGTCCTGCTGTTCAAGACCAGGTGAACGTGACCCAATTATTGTTTGTCTGGGAGTACTGTAATAGACTGTTGGTTGAAAAAGCTCCTTCTTCAGACGATTTTAGCGTTTAAAAAAGACTAACACTATTATTATTATTATTAATTCGAATTTATAACTCTGGGATCCCAGAAGTTCTTTTTGTTGTCACAATCATTGGGCCACTGCTTGTATGTGTTTTTTCCCCAAATAGTGCTCCGCACTAAGGGGTTCTTACGGTAAGAGTTAAGCGGGTTTAGATCAGGGTTCGCGCGTGTGGGCGCGGCAGTTTGCGTGGGCCGGCTCGCACAAAAGTGACTTTTTGAATTCCTCATGTCCATTTCGACTGCGCAGGCTCGCATAAAGTGGTGGCCGCGCCTTTCGCGCTTCCGGGACAAAGCTCTCGTGCAGGTGCCGTGCTCGTTTTCGGACATGAAGTGCATTTTGCGTGGCAGGCGCAAGGAATTCCACACATTGGAGCCTCATTTTACGTGGCAGGTGCAAGGAATCGGAGACTTTGCAAACTTCGTGGCAGGCGCAGTGTTTTGTGGACGTTGCAAAAACGTTGGCAGGCGCGTGTCATTCGCAGGATTGCGTTTCACGTGGCAGGCGCAGGGCATCCGCACCATGGATGCGATATTTTGAGGTGAAACGGGTGAACTCGTGAGAGGGGTCGCATTTTTGGAATTTGAACTTGAGGATGCTTTTGCGTGGCCAGTGCAGCATTTCGTATGACCTGCAGGCATGATTTCGTGGCAGGCACAGCATTTCTGAAACGCATTTGAAAATTTGCGAAAGCCTCGTGCAACTTGCTCACTTTGGATCTCCGATGTGCAGATTTCGTGGCAGGCGCAGCACTTTGTGCATCTCGATGTGCAGATTTCGTGGCAGGCGCAGCACTTTGTGAATCTC